CTGGGCAGAAAACAGAAGTGTTTGAAAATAGCAGTTCTTGTTCTTTTGAACAGCACTTCTGCTGGTGGTAGCTTATTTTCAACGAATCATTTTTTCCTCCTCCTCAGATGGTTTGTGTTTCAGCAACAGAAGCATGTGAGGAGACCATATCAAATGACAGATCATTGAGCCCCAGATTCTTCCTGCCCATGGTGCCCAGGACTTGATGGTACATCACACACGGTCTTTAACGTCAGGTATTTTGTGCTGATTGGCTAGGAAGAAGTGTAGTTGGGTATTTTGGAGATACAGGAACAAATAAGGAGGACATCTGTCTATTTCTTAAGACTGTGTAAGCCCTAAAAGTCTAATGAAAACCCCATAAATAGAAGGCATCATTTAATTATAGATATATGACTTTCTGTGAGCCTGGTATATTGAAGTTGACAGCTACACCATTTGGCTTGAAAGTTTAAAAAAAAAAAATAAGTGGACTGAATCTTCCTTTCCTTTCCCCAGTAGAAGGTAGGACTCAGAAAAATAAGATGCCATCTGTTCTGTAGGGGATGGTATACTAGAGATAATAGAGTGGTAACCTGAGGCAGAAAGTAAGTATTATAAAAGCCAAAAGCATTTAAATACAAGAAATGGAATCTTTCAGGTCTTCTCTCTTAAGACAAAACCAAAAATAGATTTTAACAAAAACCTTCTAGACAGCACAACTGACAAATAATGGAAATCTATAAATGATAGAAGAGTGTGAGATGGATACTGAACTATGTAATTAAAAGAAAGATAAGGTAGTGAATTTCCCTCTGCCCTTACTGTGTCACTTAAGTCCTGTGCAGAAAACTCCAGAAGCCTCTGCCCCAGAAATCTCCATGAGGGCAGGAGATAAAATCTGAAAGAAAACCTGTTTTTTCTAGGCAATGGTTCTGGGCCTAACAATAGAAAACCTTTTATGGAAATACATTTCTTACTCCAGCAAGACATCAAAAGGCTCTCTACCTTGTTTAATGTTGTCACACACTATTACAATGGAGTGAAACTGGAAGCTTGTTACTCCACTGTCTCAAAGGCTGGGACTAATAATATAATCTCATTCGTTGGCAGGGCTAATGTCCACCTTCAGTTGTACTTAATCGAGAGATAGACTTAAAAAGACTCCTAAGAACAGTTTATCACCCAAATGTATTACCTTCTTACTTTTCAGCTGTGACAGGAAGGTTCACTGAGAAGCTGAACTTCCACCCAACCTTGTATCAATGATACTTAACCAAGCACTGACAGAGTGAGCTGTCAGTATTCTACTTTTCCTCATCCCTGGTATCAGCAGAGTGCTGAACTTCTGTATCCAGTCAGCAACTAAAAGACTGACTTGAAGAGTTGGTACCAGGAATATTATTTGCACCCAAGAAGCAATAATGTTCTCCCAAGTAGATATTCAAGAAACTGAATGAGTAAAAGTAGAATGTGTAGAAAGAAATCCACACCAAGATGCTAAAAAAAGGTGCAAACAGAGATTCAGTTTGAGTTGCTAAGTGAAAGTGGGTGAGGAAGCATAAAAATAACAAAACTACATGTGTGCAATTGTCAAATTGAACCATAATTAGTGCTTGGTGCATGTAAACTTCTTTAGACCATTTATGAGTAGGCAATAGTTTTCTAGTACATGGTGAAACATTCACAAAATAAATGTATACTGCATTGGGAAACTATCTAAAATTATATTCAATATTAAATTCTTATGCTATTTTAAAATATAAAGGAATAAAATAAGAAAATAAGAAATGTTAAAGGAAAAATTTCAAATACAAAGAACACACTAAATGTTCCATGGATGAGAACACCCTCAAAGGGCTAAAAATAATGCATAGAAAGGGTGCATGTGAAAATGGAACCTATCAAAAAGAATTGTCAACACCAAAATCATTGTCCAAATGAAAGGTCTTAAACTCTCATTTAAATAGAGCCAATAGTAGTATAAAGCAAACAGGAGGAAGTAAGAAAGGTTGAAGCAGAACCGAAATGTGGTGAAAAAGACAAAGCAAGAAAATGATAAAAAGAGAGAGTCTTCTTTAATATACTTAACTATATTGATTTACTCCTCATAAGCCTGATACACATGAAGAGGATAGAGTAGAAAGCATAGCTATAACCCTTTTAGCCTTCAAAGGTATGATAAGAGACTACTATGAACAAACTTAGACACATGAATTGAACAAATAAGGTAAATGGACTGCTATCTCAAATGTGATAATAAAAGACCTTTACTGAAATATACATGTTGTGACCTTATTGGTTCCCAGTAACCAAACCATAAATAGAAACTTCAGATGATTGTATAACCACTAAGGAACTTCAATTCATAATTTAAAATTACATAATCGTGATATTCCAGTATATCTTCTGCTCATGATAAATATATTCGCCTTTTAAAATCTTAGTACTGAATTTACACGTTCTTTTTTCTCAAACACTAAAAAAGGAGGTACCAAATTGCTCAAGCAGGTTCAACAAAATACTAGAGTAGACTAAATGGTTCAGACAACAGATATTTGCTTTCTCAGTCCCTGAGGCTAGTTCATGTGTCAAAATTGACTTAGTTCAGATGGTGTCATATTAGATTGACGCCAAGACACTTTATCAGAGTGTGCTCACATGCTTCTTCCTTTTTGTGAGAATGGAGAGAAATTTGAACTTTCCTCTTCTTTAAAAACAAATCTAATGGGTTCAGACCCTACCTTTATAGCACCCTTTAACATTGATTATTTAAACCTTATCTCTGAGCAAGGTCTCAAAAGTGTGTAGGGGGAGGGGGCGTTCAGAAGATTTTCTCTTGTGTTCTTCCTCAGACGATGTCAATTTTTTTAAAATGCAGTCCCTCATTGGCTTGTAATTCACAAAGTGGTCTAGACTGGATGACAGTCAGGCCCAGGGATCCAGCTAGTTCTGTGCCCTCAGCAGTGGTATTACAAGCCGGAGCCACCACAGATTTTTTTATGTGGGTGCTGGGAATTAAACTCGTGTCCTCATGTTTGCATTTTTAGTATTTTACCAACAGAATTATTTCCCCAACTGTCTATTTTCATAAGTTTCAAAGCTTCCATGTATTAAATTTGGAGAACACCCTGTTCCTCCAAACACATCCCAACATATTTTATAATCCTATAATCCTTAACAAAATATTGGCAAATTAAATCTATAAACAGTAACTGTACAGAATGATCAGTTTGGATTTAACCAAAATGTTGAAGATTGATTCATCATTCAAAAAGAAACAGCGTAAACAACTGTCAACAGTATAAGAAACATCATATGATTATTTTAAATGGCACAGAAATACTATTGAACAAAATCCAATCCCTACTGATTTAAGCTTTCAGAAAATTGGGAGTAAAAGAACTTTAAAAAGAACATGCACAAACATTTAAGCAAACATTTCATTTAAAGTTGAGAAATTTCTCTGCCACTTAAATTAAAAACAAGACAAACATTTTTGCTTTCATTACTTTTATTCGCTATAACTGATTTTTCTAATCTAATAAAACAAGAAACAGAGGTAAGGCCTATGAATGTAAAAGAAATAAGACTGTCTACTTGGCAATATAGTATTAAGATATCTGCAAAAACAGTCCCTCGAACTAGTAACTTCACTTATTTCATAGAATGCAAGGTTAATGTACACAAGCCAACAATATTTCTACGTACCCCAAATCTTAAAAATATATGTTTTCATATATAAATAAGCTTGCTATAAAACTTGTGTGGAAAACCACATACCA